ACTCGAGTGATTTTTACATGCCTACCTTAATAGCATTTTGTGTGATTAATTTCAAGTTTGACGTTCGTCATTTTGTTTGCAAAAAGTTCGCTACGTGTCTTTATCGTCTTAATGAATTGACTTTACGAGCTAGAGAGGGAAACGTCGATAATCGTAACGAACTCAGTTGCACACATTTAGAAGCTTTTTAATTCGATTAAATTAATTATCTCGGCAGCTTTATTTTGACTTTAACTTATCGAGTGTTTTATAAATTCCGGCAAGCTGAGTGAGTAACACTATTACACGGGGAGCAATGAACACACGTGTTTTATCTCTTATTATCGATCATCTTGATGACGTAAATCAATTTCAACGCGCATGGAAGAATATGTAAATTTATAAATCAGTATTTGAAATTTCGAAAGCTTTTAAAAAATTGAGCGGGTATCGAAAAGTTTTATTTTAATTCGAAATCATATATGTGTGTATATATGTACATGTGCATCTTCAATATATACATTTATATTTCTCAGTATATTATTAATGCGCCTTTTATTCAACATATTAATTATGCTTGCATAATCGAAAAAAAAAACCGTTAAGAACTCACGTGAGTTCGATAAAATCACGAGAACTGTCGACAGCAAAAAACTTGAAACTTGAAAATTTAAGACTTTTTTTTTTTAATTTTTGCATCTTGTTATTTCTTGTCGGATACCTTTCGATGCGTCCTCAAGAAATAAATCTATTAAATATGTAAAAAGAAGAAATAAAAAGAAAAAACTATTCCATAGTTCAATATCTGCAACAAGTAAGCGAAAGATTGCCAATTACTTAATGAAAATGTACTTTTATCGTACGCCGACACCGACCTTGACTATCTTGACTGCCTTCCTTCTCGCATCTGACGATCATTAAGGTCGAAATATTTAAATTGAATTTACGAGATCTGGCCCCGGGGCTACTCCGTAGACTACTTCGCGGAGGTTGAAGAACCGAGACGAGGAACTGAACGGCAAATGTACGCAGACTAGTGCAAAGGACCGTCATCCATCATAGAGCACAACGAAATTCTCTGTGCGCGTACGATGACCGTCTCAAGCTTTCAGAAAGATCCGGTGAATATATATAAATATATATTTACTATATTTTCTTTCGTGCAATGACGATCAATAAATAAATAAATATATATATATGCACGAAAGAAAATAAGAAAATATAGTAATTAATCATTGCTTCATCAAACGGAGGAAACAAATTCACATTCACACGGTTGAGACGACGACTCGCGGTCATTAACAGATGTTCAACGTTATTCAATGTTAATTCGAGAATTTAACACGGTGCAGCCTCCGCGCGCACGCACTTCTAAATTCAGCTGATGATCTTGGAGTGTATACGATTTATACACCCGGCTGCGTCACGGCAAATGTACCTCGTCTCGGCTTCTTAAGTATTGCCTAAGTAAATCGACGTCGATTAATCAGAAATGACAGGAGGACTAGCCGGCTGCCCAGCGGGCATAGTTCCTCGCCGGTTTCGTAATTAGAGGCGCTAATTTCGCATACCTGCGCGTAGTCTGAGCGACGTAATTTCTGGATTTATCGCCATTATTTTTCTTGAAGGTGCGTCTCCCGTTTAAGAGAGAGACAGAGAGTGCACGTGAGATTCCGGCTGTCCGATTTAATTCACCAGGACTACCTCGAGCCGTCGTCGCCGCGCTCGCATTACAGACGGTTAAACATAATAATTCGCAGGATTTCTTTCAACGGAATTTCCTTTAAATTTGCTCCAATAAGTCACATTCCCGTCTCCGCGATTAACTATAAGTGTCTTCTGTCAATTATAACTGCCAATTTTTATTTAGCGCCGCCGTAATTTGCATCGAGAAATTCTTTAATTGAATCAAGTCCATTGAACGACGGGAGAACTCCTCCAAGTTACCGCAGAAAAAGTCTATATGCAAATATTTAACCTGCCAATCTCTCAGCGAGTTTTTCGCGATTCTTTTTCAAATATATCACAATTAAATCAACGAATAGAAGAGAGATAAAACTTAATTTAAAGATCGCGAAAATTATAATCTCGCCGCTTTTCGTCTCCGTCATTACTTTTATTAGGATTTATGACTTCGTCACACGTGCGCTGTGAATAAATTTCACAATTCACAAAGCGAATAATTTTCTCAAGATCTAAAATTTATCAATTGGAAGTATCGATTGGCTGATCGATTGGTAAGAACAGATGTAATTTGTATTCGACAGCGATGAGTTATACTGCGTCAAGAAACCTTACCTAAATTAATCGCTCCTTCTATCATGTAATAATACGTGACGAAAATCGCGTTCACATGAAGCCAAAATTTATCTACAAGAATTTATATCTCTTTCTCTATAAATTATGTAGAAATTTGTTGACCTTATTTTCTTTTAAACTTGCACGAACGTATAATATTAAAAGAAGAAAAACTTGTTTTGACGTTCTAATCAGAAAAGTTTCACCTAAATTTATATTTTCTAATAATTCCTTTTAACTATTTTTATTCTAAATTTAATTAGAGAATCAACATTAATAATGATTCATAAATAGATTGCAGAGTCATTGCAATGCACTTTCGCAAAAAGAAAAGTTAAATAACTTTTCAAAAAAATCATTGTAGAAAATGCATAATTACAATTTAATAATTTATACACGTCGATAATATAAATACTTCCTTCTTCTTTCTCATTTTCTCTAATTGTCCTCGCGCCCCTCAGATTCCCTCTGTTTGCCTGCCGTGCTAAAGAAACGAAGGAAAAAAATCACGCGCAGCAGACTATCGCGTTACGTGGACTATGCGCGAACTTGACACCGGCAAGGACGTGTTTCGAAAGGAGGAAATAAAAAAATAGCCGCTCCAACCCGTTAAAGGACGCGCCAAGTCAGCCGTTGAAGCCTCGAGCGAGACCGTCGATCGATTACCAAATAAATCACGATCCACGACAACCGTAAAGCGATCGTTAACCAAACTCTCCGTTAGCAAGCTTAGATTATCATTCTTCCCGCTTCTGTTAAATAACACACATAGGTACAAAGTATGAAAATTAAATCTTGTAACATGAAATATTCATACATATAACACAAAAATTTCAACATTTTTTAATTAATAAATTTAAATTAAACAAAAATCCATATTTGAAAAATCTGTAATTGAAATATATATGCACATAATGATATTTCATATTTCAGCTTATATAATACAACGTAAATGTATGAAATATTCATTCTATATCTTATAATCCATCTAATTGCAAATTGCATATATTAATTTAGAATTTTTGTCTACTCGGCTCGCAAGACATTCGAGAATTTTTCAGCTGGAAATAACGAGTCCTTTTTTTTTGAAATTTTTCGAACACGGTAACGAGAGTTAATTTTTCGAGCTCTTGTCGCGCGAAGGGCCCGAGAATCGCCCTAGATCCTCAGGCGTGGCGATACAACGATCTCAGAAGAGAACCTGTTGTTTTACGTAATAACACTCGGTCGAACGGATCGACGACGCCAGGAAACTGGCCTCTCCGTTCACGTCACTCTCTTCGCGTGTTCAGAATCGTTTCTTCGACTCCGACACGTCATTCTGGTGCGATACCTTCGTCCACCAGCGGCGTCGAAAGACAATTCGCTGCCCTTTCCACGAAGCCGAATACCCGCACGATCGTTACCTTCGGAACAGCACGAATCTCGTGATCGGCGTTATTGTTCGATAATGATGCGCGCCTTATTACGGATGAATGAGACCTTTTAGCAGTATTAGTGACCCATCGTGGACGGGACGGAAAATTTTCAAAAAAAAAAAAAGAGCAGGAATTAGAGATCGAAAATAGCGGAGGGTACCGATTATCCCGAGATGTAGGGCCCCGTACTAAATTATATCGTGACTAATGTCACGTTTGATTGATTAATGGTATTTACACCGAAGCTGAAATATTCGAAAATGGTGTCATATTTTGAGATTAACACAATTGAGAACTTGAAGCAAAAATTCAATTACGAAATTATACAACATTGTAGATTTTACGTAAAAGTATGCAATTAATCGTATAAAACAATTCCGTCTTAATCGCATAATTAATATGTTGAAATATTCATTTGATTCATATTATGTGCGAAATAATACAAGCCACGAGCGTTCCATTCCAAAGTAGATATCAGAAAGGATAGGCGTTAATAATCGTCGATCGTGACGACTGCTCATCCTGTTCTTCGCTTCTGTCGTGAAAAGAAATATAAAAAAAAAAAAAATAAAAAAAGAAAAAAGAATTGGATGAGATTGGAGAAACTAGAAACTAGCATGTGAGAGGAATGAGAGATGGGGAAAAAAGGGGGATAAAGGAAGAGATAAAACGAAACGGAGAGGCAAGACGAAGGAAGGAGAGAGCAAGAATATTAGAGTACGTGGAGAGGGAAAAGGGGAAGGGGGGCAGTCTCTATGCGGTACCCGAAGCCAGTCGGTCGGATATGCCCCGAGGCCGTGATAGACAAGGTCAGCCTCTCCCAGCCTTATATATATGCTTCTGCTACTGGCAGCGTGTGCTCTCTGCTCTCTTTTACGTTTATTTATTTATTTATAAATATACTGCACGCGGTGCGCGCTCTTTTCTGCGACTCCTGGCTAATGTGCCCGCGGAAGCGGACGGTTGACGGTTGCCAACCGAATCTCATTCCCGTCGTCTCATACCGCCGAATATTGCCATAAAGATATGCGAAATAAACGACCGAGTCCGAAGTACATTCTCGTGGCTGTGTCACGTGCGCGCAAGAAGTTATTAATTTGCATTTTAGATCGGGAAACATTAAGTTTTCTGCAATGGCGGCCACTGCCGCCGCGAGTTCCTGAAATCGATTACGACTCATCTCTTTGTCTCTTATTTGCTTATATTCTCGCTATTTCTATTTTTCTTTCTTTCTTTCTCTTTCTCTTTCTCTTTCTCTCTCTCTCTCTCTCTCTCTGACACCAAAGTATTCTTTTCTTTTTACAGATATTCGGTAGCAAGGCGGACCTGCAGCTCCATACGCAGATCCATATGCGCGAGGCGAAGCCGTACAAGTGTACGCAGTGTTCCAAGGCGTTCGCCAATTCCTCGTACCTGTCACAGCATACGAGGATCCACCTGGGCATTAAGCCGTACCGTTGCGAGATCTGCCAGCGGAAGTTCACCCAGCTGAGTCACCTACAGCAGCACATTCGCACGCACACCGGCGACAAGCCATACAAGTGCCGGCATCCGGGCTGCACGAAAGCGTTCAGCCAATTGAGCAATCTGCAGAGCCACTCGCGATGCCACCAAACCGACAAGCCGTACAAGTGTAACTCCTGCTACAAATGCTTCTCCGACGAGCCCAGCCTGCTCGAGCACATACCGAAGCATAAGGAGTCGAAGCACCTGAAAACGCACATCTGCCAGTACTGCGGCAAGAGTTACACCCAGGAGACCTATTTAGCAAAGCATATGCAGAAGCACGCGGAGAGAACGGACAAGAGACCGCCGATCATCGGCACGGGCCTCAGGCCGTCGATACACGCGATGACCGCCCATCATCAGGACCACTATTGGCCCAAGGTAAGCCCGGATTCGGTGATCGGCGATCTGCACGAGAGGCTGCCGCACCATCACGCGGAATACCATCAGAACCAGAATCCGGAGATGCTGCTGCCGGGACACGGGCATCGCACCGCCGAGTCCATCGAGAATGACTCGAGGCAACAGACGCCCCAGCCTGGCGCGAATCACCATCCCAACAGTAGTTCGGCCTTCACGCCGATCTCGTCGATCTCGATCAACTCGATCTCCTCGATGCAGCATCCGTTGAATCCGCTGAATCATCTGCACTATCCTGGCAGTCATCACCCGGCGTCCCGGCCGTATCTCTACGAGGCGTTCAATACGACGCAGAAGTCGTCGCCTACGTCCTCGTCATCCGGCGTGACGCCCGGCACCACCAGCAACCAAAACGCCACGTCTTTCCCGAATCAGCTCATTAGTCTTCACCAGATCAGGAACTACGCCCATCAGCCGAATCTCGGCAATCTGGGCAACCTGGGGAATCTGGGGAACTTGAGCAATCTCAGCAATCTCAGTGCCACGATGGAAAGCCACGCGCTGCTGGGCGGTCTCAAAGAGAAGCAGTAACTCTTAGCTGGTCTTGGAGATTAACTTCAGGAAGCGCTCGCGAGCTCTCTTCATCACGGTTCTTTTATTCTTTTTCTTCTACTTTCCGTGACATGTCACGTTGCGACTTGAGCTCTCGCTTCATCCGGCTCGATCGTCTTCTCCTCTCCGTGATCTCTTTATACCCGTCTAATTTATTTTTTACGCTGGTGTGTACGCAAATCCCACGCAAATATGACTCCGAAACTAACTTTTCTTCGAAATGTCTGACTTCGGTGTTTAACTACATTTTGCATTCATATTTCATAAGTATGTATGCATGTAAGAACAATAGCGCGTCTCATCGTAATCTTTTAATAGATTAATGCATACGATGATAATCGCGCCCAGAAAACGGATAAGAGGTACGAGATGTATGGTCAATGGTCGAAATCATTTTTGACAGCCAGTACAAGACTATCACTCTCTTTCCTTTTCACCTTTCTCTTCCTCTTTTTTTATCTTCTTTTTTTCTTTTAATGTCTTATCTATGAGCCTTTCGATTTTGCGTCTACGTCTCGATTGAGATGCGCTTGTGCGTTATGTATGTATATAAAATATACATATGTTTTATTAAACACACATGAGCACAATGATCTAATTTAATAAATAATCATTAAACTCAGAGTAAAAACAAATTTATTTGGATTAAAACTATTTTTTTAGTTTAATTGCTAATTAATGCCGCGTTCTCCAATCGATTTGTGTAATCGATGACGATTATGAAATTAATTCCAATGAAAGTTTTCAGTGTGAAAATTGTTTTGTATTTTCTTTTCTGTAACCACATCTTGGTATCCCAATTGTTAATGAAATTGGAAGCACGTTTATAAAATATTTACAGTGACAGTTCACACAATATTTAACCAAAGCTCCGAATCACACATGTACGTTACTCGCGATACAACAACGTAGTAACATGATAGAAACCTCGACGGTTACATTCCTTAATGTAATAAGACTGACGTGATGTAGTTTAAAAAAAAAAACTATATCTTTACATACTGGTCTAATTATTAATAATCGATATGATCACTATCGATTGTCAAAAATCGTTTCGTTGTCTCCCGCAATTGAAAACTGAATTTCTACGTTCGTTGAGAATAAAATTGATATTTACTCGACTCTCTCAGATTATCCACGTTTCTCGGCGTGTTAACGTCCTCGCCAATGATCATGCGTGCCAATTACGAGCTAGAAAGTTCCATCAATACATATTCGTCGCGATATAATCCGTACGATCTGACGACGTTTGAATGATAAAGTGGAGCACGATCATGGATTAACTCGTATTCGAACAGTAGACGATACTTTCATAATGCTAGAAAGTATACGATACGCCGGTGAGATGAATTAACTGATTTCTTCTTCAGTTTATCATGAACAATTTTAGTTGTGAACGGAGACCGAGATCATTTTTTGTTGATAAACATGTTCAATGATTTATATTTTTATAAAGTTATATATAATAGCAAATGTGTGTTTTTTCAATAAATTCGCTCTCTAAACTAAATTTTTTGAATCCGGCGATGTTCACTTTTTCGACACATCCTTGTGTGTGTGTGTATTTCTTATCACTACATCTTATGAAATTATTTTGGACGATCGAGATTTTTTTCAACTGGAATTATTTTTTACATTGTTCCCGCAAACTCGAAGAATATTTTAAGTTTAATTAATTAATATATTTCAAATTCTAAGATATTAATTATGCAGTTTTCTTTTACTCTATTGTGTTTTATTTGCGTATTTTTCTTTGTTTTATGTTCTTTATTTTCTCTAACATATTGAAAAAAATATTATAATTTCATCAAAAATATAATTTGTGCAGTTTACATGGTTAAAATTTAATTTCTCGTAACGTTGTGACTATACGAGTTTTAATTATTTTAAGAAATTTTGTCGCGATTTACCAAGCAAATCATCTTGAAAGACAAATAAATGTGGAAGGGAATGTACGAAATTAGTGAATTGATAAATAAGAAAATTAGACATGCAAATATGCTACGTCGTAATGTACGCGAAGGAAAACAGATAGAGTAAACGTACGAAGACGAACGAAAAATTCATTTTAGGACATTCGGAAAATTATGCAGGAACACCAATGGGATAACAAAGACATAAGGAGGAGAAGAAAACTGTAGCGCGAAGCGCGTAGAGAGACTGGCATATAAAGAGATACACAAAAAAAGAAACGTATAGAAATATATACGGGCACACATACAAAAAAGGTATAAAAGCATCACGCACATTCTGTAAGAGAGCCGCACGGAGACCTCCTCTTGTAAATAGGTGCTATATAAATAAATAAGTATATGCATATATTAATAAATGAATGAATATATGCATATACGCGTACATACAAGTACATAAATAAAGAAATAATTATTATTATCGTCACACCGAGACATCATCTTTATTAGCATCATTATATTATCATCTTTATGATTATTATGTATTATTATATTATTTTTATTTACATTATTATTATTACTATTATTACTATTAATTATTATTAATTGATTAATATTTTGATCGACATTTAGTAGGTGTGTAAAATAAAGAGAAAGCACACAGATTCTAATAATGTGAAAATATTCTAAGTACCTTACTTAAGATCTAAGTAATCTTATGTAATCTGTTATATACGTGTGTACGCGTTGCGTGCGCGCGTGATGAAGAGAAAGAAGAGATGGAAGGAGAAAGAGAGAGGGAGGAAGATAACATGTATATGCGAACTATTGTAGATAATTTGTTGTTACGGTGCCAGACGTGTTCTTCTTCGGGGTTCCTGTGTAATTCACGTTCTATCGAGTTGCGTTATGTTCATACAAGAAAAAAAAAATATATAAAAAGCTTGATCGTTAAGTTTTGCATTTTTAATCATACGTTTTACACGCGAATTCCGCTTTTATTTCCGCTACTCTGTCGACTTATGGCAGAAAATGCCGCAGTGCCAATTTATTTCCGATTATTGTATCAAGATAAATCTGCGTGCCGAGATCATTATTCACTCGGTGAAAAACGAACCCCGCGGTAGTCATGTCCGGGCCTTACCCTATGCTCAAGTTGTTTAAAACTATTACGTTGTTATTAAGATGATGATAGGACAATGAATGAGAGAAGGGGCGAGGGGTAAACGTTCAAAGTTCATTTTCTTGCTGTATGGCCGGAAGGCGGACCAGATTCCTTTGTAAGACGGCATGTGACTCGCTATCTCTGGATATCCCAAAGTAAACGTCAAAGAATGAACAGATAGAAAAGAATATAGGTAATCGTGCGCGGGTGCGCACGGTTATGTACATTAAAAAATGTTGGATATACATACATCTTGTTTTAGATTGACAATGGGGCGAGGAAAAATGTTTCGAGTAATAAGTGCGTAATTGATTTACACAACAAATACAGGGAAAAGGATAGATAAATAGATAGATAGATACCCGTCATTTTGTTGATATATAATGAGAAATGTAGGGAACGCGAAATAGGACGGATTCGCATGACAGCAAGGGACAGATGCAAGATAAGAAACTCCGAAACCCCGCGCTTTAAATGTGATTTCTTCTGCCTATCCTTAGTTTCACAATGATTATATATTATTATTATTAATATTTTATTATTATTATTATTATTATTAATATTATTATTATTTCGTTTAATAAACTGTCACGTGTTAAAATAAAGGCAAAGGAGAATTTCTCGACATGTAATGTTGAGTTATTTTGTTTCTCTATTTTCTGTCAAAACGATATGAATTTGCTTTGGCCTTTCCCTTCTCTCTCATCATACAATCGTCCCTCCTTTCGTCCATTATTTTTGAAAAGTACAATATTTTAACTATACACTGGCGATTATATTAATTTTTGAAAAATGAAAAAGGACATTTATGTTTTTCACATTCGAATTTGTAAACTAGAGTATTGAAAATTCACCAAGAAAACATCGAACGATACTCTGAATAAAATAATATACTGCTCATCTATCGTGTTTAAATGTTTCCATAGAGATATTAAATGTTGGAACACACGTTAGGATGATTAAGGCAAGGATCTCACATCTCAATTTAATCTGCATTAATCCGTAAGTACACATACGATCTTTTTTCGTAACACAAACATCGGATTATTATAATTTATTTTTTCTGCTGTTATACATTTGAGAAAGATAATGTATTTAAATTAAAATAACACGCAAGAATTTTCTATTATTAGAAATTATTATTTTTGAAATATATTGTTATCAGAACATATGGCTTATTATTTTATGTTTCTCGCGTACTCACAAATTACGGTGCATAAGTTATATAAAAGAATAAAATGGTACAAACATTTTTTTTTTTTTTTTTATAACCGATTTTATTCTCAACCGTATGCTTAATCATAGTTTTTTCAAGCTTCTTTCATATTTTTCATTGATGTGAATGAGTATAAATTTGCTTTTTTATTAAGTCACCAGAGTGTCCTATATCCGTTTTGTCAAACTATCTTATGTCTTATACCAAATGAGAGATTAAAATAGAATATATATAAACACTTAATTTTTAGCGAAAGAGGATAATTAATATACGCGCATTGAAGCCACATATTCTCCTTTCAGCTCTTATAAGTTATTATTCTCTTTTGCGGTAAAAAGATTAAAGAAAAGCGTTTTTTTCTCGCTGACCATTGCCGCGAACTCTCTCTTTTATCGTGCGCCACTTTGTTCCCGTTGTTCGTCACTCGGATTATTTCATCCTTCGCTGACTTTGTGTCGCAATCTCCTCTGTCTGTCGTTTCTTACGTTCGATTACGATAAATTTCGTGAAACACTCAAGCGCACTCGGTTACTAGCGCTCCGCGTGAGCACTTCGCGGACAAATGCCGTCCAATTCTATTCTTTCGTTGTACATACAAAAGTAAGGGAGATCGTGCGTCGCGACGTTTAAACGGTTAAAGAGAGAATTTTTCATCTATACTTCTATATGAGATACCCTCTCGTGCCAGAGAATATTAGTTTCGGACGAGATTTGATAGTATTAGAAGAAGCGTTGTTTATAAAACCGCGAATGTACGCGAATATAAACCGATTGACGAAGTTGTCCTTTGTCCGCGACTAGTTCCTCTGAATGACAACGATCTTTTGGGAGACGCGAAAAATGAAAGGTGGTAGGATACACTCTTTTAGCAATACTTATAGCAAGCACGGAGGGAGGGGGCACACGAAGTCTTTCGATATGAAAAAGAAGGATGTCGATGAACGATCGCTTTACGCAAATAAATTTCGCATTTGAAGCAATAATTTACGATCTGCGTCGATTATCGTATATAAGTATAAAAACAGAGAAATCTCTCGACACGAATTCTCTCTTCAGGACAAATTGCGAGTAGCGAGGACATTTGCATTTTAATATGATTTAATAAGATAGAGAGAGATGACTGTATACCCCACGATTTTCTAACGAAATCGTACTGTATGTATGTATATTCTTTTAAATGAATGTGTCTATACGACTTTTCATAGCAATGAGATCCATCAGACTACATATTCTGTATTGGAGAAAAATGCTTCGCGCAACCTCACTCTTTATATATCGTTCTCTCTTTCGGTAAAAAAATAGTTATTATTACTATATACTTCAAGTATACAAGTTGTAAATGAATGTTTCTACAACCAGCATACCTTTGCGTAACCATTAGTCGTCGAGAGGAAAAGCGAGGAAATATATACGCGTGTATGTATCTGTATGCGTGTGTGCATAGATGCGTGTGTATTACATCTGTGTGTTACAACGCGCTCGTAGGAGAAAAAAAAAACGTCTGTAACGAAGAAAGAAACTGATAAGAAGAACATATGTGCGTGCGTATGTGAGAGCGTATATATGTATATGTTTGCGTGAGAGAAAGATAGAAAAAGAGAGTGCGAGAGAACGTATATAAGTGACACACATAAGGAAAAACAATATATTAATTATTGCGTGGTACGAACAGAACTGTGATATTTTATTGTATAACTCTGCGAAAGAGAGAGATGAGAGAGAAATATGAAGAGAGATCTCTAAAGGAGAATATACTATTACGTGAGAAAGAAAGAGAGAGAGAGAGAGAGAAAGAGAGAAAGAGAGCGAAGAGAGGGGATATTATTGTATTTTACAAAAAAAGTGCATCCTTAAACGCAATTAAATGCAATTGTGCGGGAACTGTACATACACCTGGTATCTCTCCTTTTAAAGGTATAATAGGATACCCTTAATTCTTTCGAGTTTTGATTGCGTAAGTAATGCGTATATATATATATATATAAACGTACGAAAGAGACATTTTATTGTTCGATAAAAAAAAAAGAAAACGTATGCACGGAGCACTGCGACGCCGTACCGAATGATCGCAAACGGAAAAAAAAAGAAAGAGTAATAATTAGTGTAATAATTGTGTCTATAAAATTCGAAATATGCCGAGCGATAAACCGATCATTCCCTCCCCCCCCCCCCCCCACCCCCCCCCCCC